AACAAGTGTACAATAATTATTACGACATCACTGTCATTACCTCTCAAGTGAGATAAAGCTAAACCTGTATCAGATTGTATCTAGAACAGTGTCTTATATACTACGAAGACTCTTCCATGATCTTTCACCTAGTGTTAGTATAGCTGAACACTGACTGCGTATAACGAAGCACTTACTGACTTCCAAGCACGGTAGAAAACTAATATAGATCGATTTCGATTTGTGATTCGAATTAGCCATCGAGAAGTTTCTCATTCGATCTTTGTAACGGTATCAGGTAAAATGATTCTCCACAAAGCATGAGCTTAGTAGGTTAAAGTACACTTGTACATAAGCAACACTGAGCTAAGGAAGCAAAGATCGGTATGAAATCGAACTTAACTGCTCAAGTGCCTTGCAATAGAAAAATCACACATATTGCGAGAGACATCAATGCGCGAGGAGATTTTTGTATTAATCGTTTTAAAGCTCGGTATAGTAAGTTGGGGTATCCTAGAAAAATCCAGTCGTCATACAAGTTCATGAGTCTTGGTTGCTGATAGGGTGTTAAATTGGCAAAGTTTTGAGGCTTGAGAATTAACGAGGGCTGGTGATGTTGTGGCTGATGATGCTAGGTGGCTCGAAAACAACAAGGCTTTCTGAAACTGATCAACCGCCTGACAATGTGCGTGCTTCAAAGTGCGTTGCTACATACATTGACTCTTACCTGAGCAAATCGGATGTATCACATCTAGCATAAGGCTTTAGAACTGGAAAAAATTAGAAAGTAATTGAGTGAACACCCTTCGCCTCGACGAAGTTCACCACAAGACCAGAGTATACATCCATCTCGATTTTCCATCGTCCAAAATCCTCGACAGTTTCTACCGTAAATAGGCTCAAATAAAATGACGTCCCCGGCTCTTTAATAAGATAACAAGGTCATGAATTCCTGGCCAACTCCTCAAACTTTGATAAGGATTCTGCGAGTCAAGTCAACGTTCGCAGCTGCTCAGGCTTTTGATCGAAGTAGTCGGTACATAATAGATAGTCATCGAATAAGGTTTTGGTCCATGCCCAGTAATGTTTCTTCTTTGGACGAACAAATTCTTTCAAATGTCCATATGTGTATTCCAGTGTTGTTTCATTTCTTTCAAAAGTCTTATGAATCATTTTAAAAGAATAGACGATAACGGAAAAAAAATTAAAAAGTCGGCGAATATGCAGAACTTAACTTGGTCGGGAATTTTGCCATCATGGCTTCCTAAACTAAGACCATGGCCGAAAAGGGTAATGGGTAGACAGTTTCCTTCAAAATGTAAACGATGCAGCTGTTTCTCTGTGAATTGATGGTTCAAACTTTTTCGCAATCAACTCTTTTTTTTAAGTCATTCATGCCAGATATTTTGATATTTGACAAGTCCGTGCTTCTGCCACCTTACCACGGGGCGCGATATGGCACAAAGATTAAGCAATCCTTCGAACAAGTTCCAAATCTTGCTCTCTACAGGGGGTGCAAAATACGATGTTAGGCCAGTACGCTTCGTGATGGACAATATTTTAAAACTGTCGGTTTTGTTTCCTTTGGACGGAAATAAGCACGAAAGACAACTAAATTTAAAATCTTTACTTTATGGCTAACACAAGTAAATTTATGTAAATGAATTTTTGTTGCATTTACGTTTAAATTTTTAGGTTATAAGATGTCACTGACGCTTTTGATTAACAGAAGACGAAAACATACAGTACGCATCGAGCCTAATGTTTCTTTAAATTTAATAAACTAGCCTCTTTAACGAAGCTGATCGCGTGAACAGCTCTACTTATTGAGATGATCTTAAACACCAGGGCCCAGTTGTTCGAAGGCCGATTAGCGCTAACTCAGGGTTAAATTTTAATCTAGGTTTCTATTTTTCTCTGTTCAAAAGCTGTTTGAGGATAATTTTCTCCATTTATTTTCAGAGCATTCGATCAACAAATTGAAGACAAAAAGATTTAAGCTGAATTTTTTCTTCAAGCTTTCAGATCTTAAATCAAATTTTATACTAACCCTGGGTTATCTTAACCCAGCTTTGAACAACCCGGCCCAGGAAAAGAAATGCACATAACCTCTGGGCGATCTTACATGATTAATGCAACACAGGTTAAATTCATAAAAGAGAAGTAAAAGCTCATTTGAATGGTTAAAACCCAAAGCTTTAGCGCGGTCTTTTGGATGGGTTCACCCGGAAGGAAGGAAGGAAGGTCAGACGCACACCAGAGAGGGTTGGTCACGCACCAATTTTTAATTATCTGATAACATCTTTAAAATACTTGCCTGATTGATGAACGGAAATTTCTTTTCCCAATCAACTTTACGTTATGCACGCGATTGCCAAGATGTTGACACCTAACAAGCTTTTACCGCGATCTTTTACTCTTTATAAAATCAATTCGCACCCACGCATGAGTCATGCCAAAAACTGCGGAAAAAACAGTATATTTGCTTCATTACGGTCGGGTGAAGATGAAGTTCAAACGTGATAATCGTATTTCTTCAGTAAACACTTTCTAAAACTTTTACTTTGCGTCCAGTTTAGTATATGATTTACCACATAAGCAAACCCAAAAAGTTGAGACGGTTTCAGTTAATTTCATAGCATGTTACCGATACCGATATAAAAAAAGAGAAGACGTTCAAACGGGTAAGTACAAATTAACACCCACGCTTGTACAAGTCCTATATGAAAAACCAAGACTTAAGAAAATGATAAATAGTTGCAAGTTAACTGTCAGTTAAAGGTTTCAGGGATTGAGATTAAAAAAAAAAACAAAAAAAAACAGAAGAACAAAATCTTATCAACCTTATATCAGTCATGACAGTTGCTGTTTGCGAGCAGACGTTTCTTATACTTAAACCTAAGCCGAAAAAACTTATTCATTATTACAAGTGGATTAGCGGAAGTAGATTTCACTGAAACAACAAATACAACGGAAACAGAGACTTGGAGCGAACCCTTGCAATATCCAGACCCCAAGCCGACAAAGGCACAAAATACTGTATTCTTACGAAGGACATTGGCAGTGTAATGCTCCATAATTAATTCCGATGAAATAGTGGTATAACGGTATAACGTAGCTTCAGAAATGCGATGTGACTTATGTGAATTAACGAAGCTGTAACTTACGACACTTACTTTTATTTTCGAGAATGTCTTTTTTAATAACCTAGCTTATTATTGTTAATTTCCTACTGGTTCTGCGCTAATGGTATCCTAACTGACGTTCTTTGAATTATTGAGCAATCTTCCCACGTTATACGAACAATACACTACATGGATGTCTCAGCGTAAAATTGATCTGAATTGCCGAATTTTCTACTACGAGTGTTTGTGCTTTCGTTGGCCAGCTTTGTAAAAACAACAAACTTTCAGAGGCTTAATAAAAATTTGTCAAAAATGTTACTCTGTTATCCTAACTTTAATTATCATTGTTGATATTATTGTTTAATAGAAATCTAAACATTATTGAATATTCTGCAATTTTTCAGTCTCTGTCTGTATTATTAGTTTTATAATTCATTGTCATAGTTATCGTAAGAATTAATGGCCATAAGTTATTTCACCGATAATAACAATCTCTAAATCGAACTCCGTCCACGAGGCATACCAGGCATCTAGAAGAAAAACACTTGAAATCGTTCACTTGAAAATTTAAATGACAAAACCTATCGAGACAAGAACACTCCCGTCAGTCTGTATTAAACACGCTGGGATCGGATGGGTGACTCTCTATACTCTCCTTAAAGTTTGATATTAGTGAGACAAGGAAACCCTGGAAGACTAAACTTGTCATCTTTATCATAATACCCATCTTTTTAAACAGAAGCGCAAAAATACGATCGACTCTTGTTTTGACCAGTTGTATGAATATTTAATGAGTCGTAATTGAGGTCGATTTTTTGCCTTAGGGTATTTTGATTGTGCTTGGTAATTATACACTTTGATGAACTGTGCATGCGTGCGTGGGTGTCGGTACACGTTGCTTGAGATAAAGAAGGTTGTATCATCGAACTCTCTTCATTTATCCCCCCCCTCCCGCGTTCTCCCCCGGACTGTAGTCTCAATCCGAGGAAGTATGATCAAGATGTCGTTGATGTATGACTTGCCATTTTCAGGTAACTCGCAGCCTTACACCAGAAGACTTGCCCTCTAGTGCGTGACAGTTATAAGCGGGGGTGGTTTCCGGATTATAATACGATACAACGATTTAACGGTCGGTGCGCATTTCTCGCATATCGGTTGCGTGCAGATGAAAACCCTGAGGCCATTTGTGAATCAAAAACAAAACAGCTATTAGCGACGTCAAACTGAGCTCAGCAACACCGAAAACTGCTTGATTGCTCAATACATCCGTTGAATTAAAGTTTTGAATCGTTTCTTAAAGAGAGGTTTGATCATTAATTTCTAAGTAATCAAAAGCTCAACTCATTTTTAAGGATGTAAGGCAAGAGTCGCCGAGGGGCAGTTGAACGGTTCGACGTGGAAATTTCCTGAAAAAGAAAAAGGATTATTAATGAAAAATAATCAATATAAATAACGAATAAGGAAATCACTGATTATGTATCTGTGTGAACGTTTCCCGTCAAGCCATCGGATCTCACTGTCAATGGATCACGCTTTTAGGTATAAACCTTTTAGCAATCGAGCGAGTATAATCAGAACTAATCAAAGCCAACTCCTCTTCGTATTGCAAACTCTGCACTTCAAGGATGGTACAAAATATTTGTCCTGTTCGACACAGGCAAAACTGATCGTTCATATGTGGGAAAAGTTTTTGATAAGTGTGTTTAGGGTTTGTGAGTATAAACTCTTTTGGTTTGTATGTTTATTTCAAATGAGTGAGCCTGACAGAGGATTCGCTGCGCTACGTAAATTGGCAACGCTGTGGCAAACATATCTGTGCATACAGATCTTTTAAAGATTTAGGCATGAAATAATTACGTCTGTGTGTTCTCATTGCAGAAAAGGAAAGAAATCAAAATGAAATCAGAAAATGAACATTATCCACAGCAAAAGAGAATCGTTTTTAACGCTGCTGGAGTGAATTGTCAATCGCGTTACAATCATTTGGAAGGTGTAGGACAAAATATGGAGGAAAAAACCACGAGCGAAGCTTGCTTGAAAATGGCTGATTACAGGCATCTTTGGGAGCAGGAATGCCACTCGAAAATCAATCATAACAATAGAGACAGTTCCAGTAATACTTCAATTCAAACCAGTGATTCATTTAACTCATCACTTTCTCAACCCATAACAAATGAAATAACTTTAAAAATGGATGCGGAAGACAAACTTTGCAACGGGCCATGGCAATTATCAGTTTCTTCCGACCCGGCAAGTGTGTCAGATGTAATTGACAGAAAGATGTTTTTTGAAAGTATTGATTTTGAGTTACCAATACCAAGCACAGATGATGCACCTAGTCTAGATGATGTCTTTGATGTCCTTGATGCTGAAATGGATTTTTTTGGGCCAGATATGGCAACAGAACCACCTTCAACAGGATCATCTCCTCACTTTAATGACAGCCCTTACCAGTCTTACTGGTCTCATGGTTCATGTCAACCGCCACATGTTTACATTCCGTCTTCCAACCCATGCAACGCATTTCAAGGCTTTAATTTTGGCCTCGCGAAAGGTCTTCAAAACCCTTCCCGTGGTTTGATAACTGCAATAAGGAGATTGTGTGAGTTACTCTCAAAACCAAGATCAGACCATCTTGATTCTATTTTCGTTCGCCTCCTGAATGCAACCTTAAGAGAAATGGAGGCGGCCGCGCAACCTCAGTCCAAGCACTCCAGGAGAAGAAGTGCAAGGCAAGATATCCCTTATAGACAGAGGATACGAGTTAACAAGTCTGCAAGCGACGCTGAAAAAGGTCTTGGGGCAGCCAACATCAGAATGAGCCGATCTGTCGCTTGCAAGTCCCAGTCCTTACCAATTATTTCTTCTAGATCTAGAGTAGCTCGCTGTACTGGGACTGTCGATCTGACTATGTTAGAGGGCGAGAAAACGAGCTCAGAGAAGACAAATACCAAAGTAACAACTCAAAACGAGCCTTTTCTAGCGCTGGAGGACACCATGCCAGTTTTCATGGGAAGCTTCATTTAGTATATCTAACTTCAGATACTATAGGACTCGTTAACCCTTAAACTCCCATAAGTGACCAAGAAAGAATTTCTCCTTACAACACTTGTACAATATCAAGCAGATGAGAATAAAGGAAATATCATTAGGGGAATTGTTCGTTGATTCAATACCAAATTCTCAGAACTAACATCACAAGAATTGTGTGACTGACGGTAAAGAGAATTACCAATGAGATCTTGGAAGCGAAAGGGTTAACCGCAGCTGGTGTAAGAATAAAATTGCGGACATCGCTAGTTGTAAGGTAAATTACTATCCTCTGTATAGCTTACCGAGTCCAGGTTATAACAAAAAGTATCAAACGAACCATTAGCGTTCAACAAAAAACCCGTGATCACCACCCATTCACGACAAAGGAGAGCTGTGAACTAGAGCCAGCAAAGAGAACTTTAAAAACCATTTGCAAGTTTCCATTTTATTGTTCTATACAGCAGTAGAGCATGTGCAGTACCGATCGAGATAGTGAAGGGTATGCAGAGTGCTACCGTTGTTATGCGACGTAATTATATTTTAAATTTTTAAGTTTTTTATCTTAACGATTACCTCGTTTATTAAAATGTTGCAATTAATTTTCCATTATGATAATCATAAGTATCTAGTGATTCACCTTGAATTGCTAACAAAATAGCAAGGTTTTAAACAACAGTACAATATTCTGGATCTCATCAAAATACAGCAGCAACACACGACATCGGTGCCTGGTGTCTTCCTTTACAAGTCCAGTTTTTTTAGTGTTAGTCTGGCTATAATTTGTACCGATCCCTTCCGTCAATTTTAGTGCAGCGAAAGATATTTTTCTTCGCCAAATGCGTATGTCACCATCCTTGTACGTAACAATGAAAAGATTTGATTGCATTCACGCAGTTATCTAAAGCTATTAGTATACAACCAACCACCCAACTTGATATAATTTTGAAAATAATGGTTTTCATTCATCCAGGTTAAATCAAGACAAAATATACTTGTAACATCCAAATCAAATTTTCTCACAGACGATGACGCTAAAATCAACTTATCATAAAATTAGGAGACCTTTTGTTTTCCTCTGATGTTGGACAATATCTCTTATACCATCCATCATTGCGGTTCAATCTACAAAATTGGTAGGCTGTATGGCTTCTTTAAAAAAGCTGACAAAGATTAGGACCTTAAAGCCGAGGAAAGACCAAAAACATGCAAAGCCGGGTGACCCTAAGCTTGTTTTGCCATTTTTTTAACATTGAAGAAATGTAAAATGGTTTCCGTGTTTACATAGCCTGATGTAAACACGCGGGAGGTTGGGAGAACACTTGATAAGCTGGAAACCAGCTTTGCGTTGTGGTTTCCTACGCTTATCTCGTGTTCTCCCAACCTCCCAAGTGTTTACATCAGGCTATGTAAACACGGAAACCATTTTACATTTCTTTTATAAAATAACTAATGAAAGAGGAACGAAAACCGTGTTTACATACGCTCATGTAAAATGGTTTTATGGCCAATCAGAGCGCGCGTACTATTTGAATTATTTTATAATTTCTCTTGATATCAGAGCTGAATTGTTTCTTACCTCTTTCACACGCAGGCGGTTTGAACAGGGGGTAAGTATAAGCGTCTTCCATTTCCTTTAAGGCATTGTCAAGCGTACAAACAAGAGTAAACGCTAAGTAATCTGATTTTGGTTTGGAAAGTAACTCACAAATCATTCTAGCTACTGTTACCAATCCACGGGAGGGGTTTTGGAGAAATTTAACGGAATCCATATTGATATTCTGAGCTACATTGCAAATATCTGAGCTTTAAGTGTTAGAGATGAACAGCAGGTACAAGCTGTTGGAGGTGAATTAATTGGACAGATCATCGTTAGCATGATGAGTTGTGGCGGATGCATCCATCGGCAGATACTCGACAGGACCCATTTCTTCCTGAACGTCAAAGACATCATCAAGGCCCAGTGCATCATTTACGCTGAAGCACATATCTGAGTCGATGCTATCTTAGTACGTTCTTTCATGTGTTTCGTCTAACAAAACAAGCATGTAATCGCAATCTACCGTGGAAGAGTGCGCCCACTGGTGCAGTATCTAAAGTCATTTGGATTTCATCCTGAGGGTTGCCTGGTAACCAATTTGTCAGTTCGTATGGCGAAACACCATCTCCACTTTCGTTATTCAAATGGTGTTTGGAGTCGTGTTCTAAATTTCTATTGAAAAAATGATAGTAAGTCTCCGAAATGGATGCTCTCTATATCAACTCAAGTGCTACTCTCATAAGAAGGAACATTGAAATAGCCATCATTCCAATCCAGCTTGGAAGACTGCATTCGTATGTCCCTGTGTTGAGACTGGCCCTGCCCGATCTCACTGGACTCCCCCTTTTCCTGACAGAGAGACAAAACAGTGATGTCAAGAATAATTTCCTACCTAAGTTGAAAAGTCCAAGGGGATAAGAATGACGAAAAAAATAGTTTTCAGCTTTCTATTTTGGAAAAAAAGGTTTTACGCTTTTCTTTGCTAACAGTTGTATGCGTTGACAAACTAAAGGGAAATATGGTAAATCCTAATTATACCTTCCGGAAATTTTAGTTTTACTTGCAACTTTAAATCATAACTGTGATCGACCTGAGAGTTTCAACGAACCGTCCTTATGGTGATCATTTTTTGTTACACGATTTAAATTCCGGTTCATATTATCATTCTCAGAAAGTTCCTTACACTTCTTGAATCCATCTCTCGGATATCTATCTGCCGGATATCCACCGTCGTTGCGCCCCCAAAACGCATTTTACAACCGTAGTACAAGGCTAATAACCAAAATTATAAAGGCTGTAAGATAAGTCTCAACTCAGACTGATTTCTTATTCAAGCTATTTTAAATATCTAAGTTGGGGCCTTACAAACACCGGTAAGGCTGATGTAGAATAAATTTGGAAGTTGGAAGCTGATATAACCCCAACAGAGCAAGGCTACAGTCCAGGGACTATGGCTTGATTTCTGTGCTTGATTAAATATCCTTCATTCAGAAGATTGTATAGATTACTTATGGTTACTTACTAATGAAATGCAGATCCTATTCAAGCAATTCTTCAGCAAAATCCAGCAAAATGATATCCTGCAGATCGAAACTGAACTCGTTCATCAGGTCGTGCCCACCAACATCTTCAACAGACTCCTTGGTTAGCATTGGTTTACTTGGAGTCTGCTGCACCTGGAAGCATCCAGCCATCAGATTGGCTTCTGGTAGAACGTCGTCGCATAATGAAGGAGTCACTGGTGGCGTGGACGATAACGACGATGAAGATGACGAGGAAGATGCAGATAATGGTGTAGGCGATGTTGACGAAGATGGAATTATGAACGAGGCGGGTAATGACGTCGACTGCAGCATTGGTATATCTGCTTCTACTACAGGTGTACCCCACTGGTTCTCCACTTTCACTGTGCCATTTTCAAAGCAGTCCATCATCATCGGTCGTGGGTTGTCAAAGGACCTTGTTATGACGTTCCCTTTCGAACGTTTCGCGACTGTGGATTCCATACTTGCAAGAGCCTGCTTAAAAATTGGAATGGCCTCTATCTCCAGCTGATTTGACGTCACCATCTGTATAACGGTATTCAGACCCTGCAAAGCGTTGCAAAGTACCTCCAATGGCTGCTGAATCGCCTGTTCTTGCAGTGCTTGGATTGATTTGCAATTGCCATTAAGATTGGTACTGTGTTGTACGGTATTTTGCCCTTGGGGCTGAAAACTGCTACTTCGGTCAACGTAAGGTAAAATAGCCATGCTGAGGCCCTCATATCGTGGTGCTGGGATTTTCTTTAAGCAATCAAAAGAGGCTGTTTCCTTCCTCACGTTGACGAACTTTGGCTCAGGCAGTATTTTTTTCTGCCCATTCCTAGCTGACACATTGGCGTCTCCTTGAGTCGCCGCTGTTCCTCCTAATTTTCTCCTCGGTGGCGGCAAAGCAGGGGGTTCAGGGAAAGGACTAACCAGTCCACTTGTGAGATTGCTAGTGAGTATTTTGCAAATATCACAGCGTCCCTTTTTCTTCCTGCATGTTTGTAAATGATTCTTCCGTAGCTTTATGTTAATGCAAGATGGCAACAGACAGTTTGGATCTGAACACCCAGGGGGATGAATCAATTCATTCAGGCCCAAGGCTTGGCTACCGCTTAATGCTTTTTGGCTGTCCTTTAGTTCACCAGTAAACATCTGTGGAGTCAGAAAAAAACGACAACTTTATAAATATCTCGAAGGAGCGTAGTATGGAGGGTAAATGTTTATTGGAAAGCCTCTGGATCATATTACGTTCCTGTAAATTAACCTTAAAAGTCGATTTAAGAAAAAAAAAAAGGCGTATCTTCTGCGGGAAATTGTTCGAAATATAGCAAAAAAAGCGAAAGCTTTAGTGGTCCTAATGATATCCACAATATTCATTATAGCTTTCGTAACCTCCAACTCACCCCATGTTTCGAGCAAAGACTGTCAACTCTAGCTCAGCAATGAAAAATTTACCTTAAACTTACAAATTGAAATAAAATTCCAGTAAATGTATGGGTAACATAGTAACATGCTAAGAGGACAAAAAAAAAAAGCATAGCGAACCAGACCTCAAGATTTGATCGGAAAAACTAGAAAAGCTTCAAGTGAAGTCCTCGTTTGGTACTTGATGTATGTCGCAATTTGTTTTGCCAGTTGAACCTAATTTTGACCCAGTTCCTCTTAGTTTGAGATTTATTGATGCTCACGAATCGCGATCGATTTCCTTAGTTGGTCAGGGTTCTGCCAAGAGAAAAAATAATTTGAAATCGGCTTTCGTAAGTTTAAGCTCCTCATAAACCGACACGTCACGTTTACAATCATCGCAATCTTAGCAACGTAATATAGCCCCTACAACGATAGAATGAGCCTAAAGGGTATCCCATTTCAAATGGGGGCATAGCAGCGATATGATCTTTGGAAAAAAGTGATTCTTTTAACAGGTTGAATATTTAATTATCACCCTTCAAAGTAAAGGGGCAGCCGGCTTAGAATTACCCACACTTGACTTGCGACACGGCCATGTCTGTACATGCTAATTCATGCATTCTTAAAGAAACTAGTAAACATCTTGGAGTCAACAAATGCTGTTTCCGGCTGAGCTTATGAATTGAATTTTAGTTCGTGCTAACTCTGATGCAGCACACTATTTTTCGTTTTGATACTTATCAAGACCCTCAAATTGAATCTATATGTCCAAGAAACGACGTGACTTCGGAAAGTCGTTTCTCGGAAAGGTCATTTCCACAACCACGATTCTTCGAACTCAGCATAAAGTTATGTCAATAAACAAAAGAATGCTAACAATCAAGTATTGGTTATCAATTGGCCATTAGAGAAGAATTTGCGCTTGCTCAGCAATTTTCCCGAGTATGACAGATCTTTGATAACATGTTAGTCAAAGGACACGTAATGAAAGACCGTCAATTTGACGCGAAACGTAAGAAACCACGTAATCTGCTATTTACAATGCTGCAAAAAACAAGTTGCTAACAGCACCGTTAAGTGATTATGTAAAGGAAATGAAAAGGCCTACGCGACAAAATTGCACGTCATCATGATTCAAATGTCAGAAAAGCTCTTCAGATCGCTACTATTTTTCAGTGTTGGTGGCTCAAAATTAGTTCTAATCATAAAATCAACTCAAATTATCGAACTGCTTACTTGTACGAAGGATTGGTAGTTAGTTCCTTCTCAAGATCCGAATTTTTCGTTTCTTTAAAGTTGCAGTTCTCTATCCAAGTTTTGCAGTACGTATAGTAGTGTTAAATGAAAATCTCAAATTCATTTATGTGTCATATTTATATCTTAGTTAATAAATTTCTAAAAATAGAGTGGTAAAGATCGCAATTAGAGATTAATTACGTGTTACCAAGCACAACAATAACAAAATCCACGTATCACAACACCAATTGAACAGAGCGTTGTCAACAGAGACACTCGAGTGTAAAGTTTATCATGCCACAAAATAGTGAGAGATTCAACAGCCAATCACAAACAGACGGGATGTGAAAATAAAACCCCACGATGTGCGGATGTACTTGACATTTGATGAAAACAGCAACTTCACTTCCGACAATTAAAAGCTAACAGAGACAATTACCCATTTACATTTATATTTACGTAAGGAGATTGGAATGCGAAGTAAAAAGATTTTATGCCGAATTTAAGTCAGTGAACCTTCGCTTGTCACTATTTTACTTTCCTATTTACCATGTTTTTTAAACTGTCGATTATGACCGATGTGATACGCAATGACTTCAAAAGTTAAAGTTATTTTTAATAATTTACAAATCGATTAAAAATATAAACAATATCAGGTTAAGTATGCATGTTGTTACGTCTTTACACTGCGGCTTCCAAAAGCGGTAGTTCCATGACGACACACGTAAGATTTTCCGTGTTCACCGGGTTTTTCCATGACTGCAAGTCTTCAAACAGCTAACGTGACTATATCAAAATCAATTTATTCCGCGCGCTTTGGTGGCTTGAATACTCATTGTGGAGAGTTCACGATACGACCGTTCCCGTCATCAAATAGAATTGTAGAATGAAGGAATCAACTGACGGATAAAGGAAGTCAGAAGCGAGTACTTCTTTCATTGATTTCAAATGACCTCCACAAGACTGATTACTATTTTTAAAAGGGACAGATTGTGCGTTGGAGCCGTGAGGTATGGAAAACTAATCATCACGTCATTGTTTACACCCTAGTTCATCTGACCTTGCGGATTTGTCCTTTAAAGGAAGCGAGGAGCACACGAACTGAATTTAAACTTCGAAAAAGCTGACTGACGTAGGTAATATGTGAATTACTTTGCAATGGCAACTTGAAGCACTATTTTTAGAAAAAAAAAACCTGTGGAATTTGCATTAAAGGGCCTGACATTTTATTCAAATCTCAAAATATTTCCTCATTGAAACAAGAAGCCTCGAAATATATCAAATAAATTCAGAGAACAAAGAGAATATATTGACAATACAGCGCAAAAATATCAAAACAAATGACGAAATCCTATTTGTTCACGATTAGTTGTTTGCAATGAAGAGAGCCCAAGTTAGTTGGCATAAGAAGCTGGTGTACCGCCGGAAGTTTTGAGTTCTCTTGCTCGCCATGTTCTTCGATTGCGTGACATCCTAAAGAACGACTGCGAAGGAGACTACCATATTCCGGAAGTCTTAGCGAAAATGTTGGGAGAGGTGAGATATGAAAGACTTCTCCGGTGGAGGAACGTTGTTCTCTCCTTCAGCCTATGTCAGCTTTATAAATCCGCCAAAGTCGCGCGAATAGAGAACACTTTTCGATGAAGGAAGGCAGTTGCATATATCAAATGCTAATCAATTCGCAATTGCAACTGTCATAAAGAACAATTGACCTCTATAAATAATCGCACAATCAGAGACTTTTGTTATATGTCTAGAGACCGAAAGAAAGGTGACTTCGATTGTAAAATCGGACGAAATCTTTATTGCTTTAAATCTGGCCCGTAGAGCAGGCGTAATGTTGACGGGCGAGTACTTAGTATTATCCTGGTAAAAATTAGAGCTGCAATCTCTGATTTTTACAGCTGCAGAAGGCTGGGGAGAGAAAGAGATTTGTACCAATGGGGTGAGCGACGGTCAAAAAGAAAGAGAAGGGAGGAGTAGGGCAATGAATCCGAATAACCAGTGCTCCTCACGTGGATCGGTCCATACTGTTCTCTGCTATGAAGGAAAACCAGAGTAAAGGCTAGTTTAGACTTACAAGCGCTGTAACGAACATTACTCGTTGACACAAGTGGGGTCTGCACATAAACGCATGCACATCAAAAAATGGCGAATGGAAGGAAGTCATACGAAAAAAAAAACAAATTCAAATGTTAAAGTCGAGTGACTTGTTCACAGTAAACGATGAGAACTATACCAACTGGAAACTAGTGCTTCAAACAACTAAGTTCTTTTGTAGTCTCAACATTCGTTACTTCATTATTGCGAAGATCGTTTCTATCTTTGTCCGCAGTTCAAATATATGACTTTCATGTATTCACAGTCGTTTATTCACCACTTCACGGGTTTATTTGGAACCAACATAGTGACAAGCTCCCAGAAGGCTTGTTAGCTCAATTGATGGAGCGCCGCACCGATATCGCAGAGGTCATGGTTTAAAATCCCGTACAGGCCTCATTTTCTCTACTGCTCAAGTAGTGTTCATTACTGCGAAGATTGCTTTCATGTTCAAGTCTCAACTCTATTTTCAAGATGTGACGACGAAACCGTGATTAGTCTAACAACGCATTCTTTGTGTGCTAGTAAGACGCTCCCTGTAGGTATGGAGGCATACGCATAAGGTAATGGAAAATTACATTTCTTTTATATGTGAGGCCCCGTCGGAAGACAAGACAGTCTTAAATTACAGAATAGACACAATCGTTCATTCTCCTCCCCGAAAAAATCTTTACTATCAGGCGAATAATTTATACTTGTATCTTAATTTCTCTTTGCTAAATTGACTGCATTAAAATTTTCGTCATTTGCTAACGCATGTGGGAAGTATCACAGTCATATATTGCGCATGCGTCCGAAGGGGAGGCATAAAATTCGGCATTGAAGCACGATTTGCAGGTAAGTCGCATCTGCACATAAGTTGAGAGCGCGCTTAACATTCAAATTTCTCTTTAACTGACGTGGCTCTGTTTGATAGCGCCATATTGTTGCTTATAGCCCAATCTCGATCAGTTAGATATTTCATAAAATACAATGGGTGACTTCATAATAAAGACAAGGAAAACTTCCGAACCTCAATGCATGATTTTGCTGAGTGTTTTGTAATACATTATGTATGGTTGTAACCTGCAATATCAAGGTTTGAAGTAAAAATTGGTCTCTTTCCTTCCCTTGAAACAGTTTGTGTGGAATTAGGGGTGTGTTTATGATCAAAACTATTTACACAGTCCTTTAGCATGAAGAATTTCATCGAGAGCCCTTTGTAAAACAGTTGCGTAATGTTCCTCAAGGCCTGCTGTACAAGGACCTTCAAAAGCTTGGAAAATTAAAGAAAGGATTCCAAACAACTTACTCATATACTGTACTCTATAGGATGGATTTCGTGCCATGTCAGATTCGATGCCACGATTTACACCGTACTGAATAGTTGGTATGTTGGCCACTAAATGAGCCATGGTCCTAAGCTGTGGGTCGTGGGAAAATGCAGCAGTACCGTTACAGTTGGACCCAGCTTGTTCCGTTGGTAGTGGCTGACTTACTGGTACTATTTGATGACTGCAAGCTTTAGAGCTTCTCACCAAACAAGGGAATTTCTGAACGCATCGAGAACGCGCAGTACTCTCTTCCATACAATTATGTAAGCCAGGGATGTGTGTTTCTGATTCGTTTCCAAGACCCTGCATTTCGTGGTCCCAACGATGCGGTTGTGATGCGGCAATCGGTTCGTCTTGAGGATCATTTTTCCCATCCAGTATGGCATGTGCACTGCTCTCTTCAGAAAAAAAGGCACCGTTGGAATCGTTGTCATCAGCAGGTATCTCCAGTACACCTAGAAGGTCTTGCCACATCAGTTCCCTTTCATCTTCATTTGCAGAGCTCTCCATTCCGCTATTTTGGAGCACGACGGTCTCTCCTCCAGACCTACGTTTGCCAGCTCGTCTGCCCTGTGCATTCATCTTCTTCATTTTAGAAAGCTTGGCGTTGATGCATATCGGATGAGGGCAGTCATTATTTGAACAAGGAATACAAGCATCGTGATTGGGATCTGCATGCAGGGATTTTTCAGCCATAATTCTCCGGCGCACTCTCTAGTGAAAGAATGTTTATGTCAATTTCGTTCAGAAATTTCCTTGTTTGGAAGTGTTCTTAAAGTGGTCTAGTTAATGGAATAATTATCTGGGGAAATACCTATAAGACCACTCTTCAACTAATTTTCATTTTACAAAAAAGAGCCATGCGATTAGTTACCTTTTCTAGATTTGATGAGCACTCTAGTCCTTTATTTAAATCTCTTGAAATTATAAAATTCCTAGACCTAGTAACTTTTCATTTAGCAATCTTTATGTATAAATATCATAATCAATTATTGCCATCAGTTTTTAGTTCTTTTTTAGTAAAATTTCGCAAATCCATTCCTATAATACAAGGTTTGGTGCAAAACAGTCTTATTATCTTCCAAAAGCAAGAACAAATTATGGTATATTCAATATCAGATTTCAAGGTCCATCGGTATGGAATTCCATTGACGAAGATATAAAATTATCTTCATTGTCTTTGTTTAAAAAGAAAGTAAAGCAGCAATTTATCAAAGATTACTAGACATCTGTATTGTCTGTGTAACTTTAAAATGGAAATAATACTGTTTTGCAATGTATGAATTTTAGTCTCTTTAATATACTGGTATTTTACCTTTGTGTGCGTTTCTGTATCTCTTTGTTTTTGTGTCCCTGACCTAAACATTTAAACATCTTTTCTTTCAACTGGCTGCCTGGCATTTTTAACTCTTAGGTTATTTCGGGCAGCCAGCGCCCCTATCATTGTCTGTACTATTATTATAAATTTTTCTTTCTTGTATATTTTGGGGTGAAAAAATAAAGTTGTTGTTGTTGTTGGTCAGAAATATCAGCTATTTTTAGAAACAACTGATGTCTTATTTTTCGTCCTAAGTTGAAATTATCTCCGTTCCTCAACTTTAAATTTTTAAAAAAAAAAACAATTGCAAAACAACACAAGATCATAGATGGAGGGCGCGAATAACTTCCGAAAGTGAAAAGGATAGGAAAAACTGGAGAATAGGAAACTTCAGATTTTACATTAAACACCCGACAATTGACAAATTCCTACACTAAAAAAGTATCACACTTAGCAGTCTGTCATCACTGTATTTAAATATCGGCCGTTACGGTCCCTCGTGCTCTCTAATCTCCTACTTGGTGCCTATGGATGTCAACCTTTAAACCACGTTTTCGGACAGTTTGTTGATCTAATTCTGTTGTGCCGAACTTGCTAAAGAAGGATCGATGTTGATACTTTAAAACATCATAAAAATCAGTTCACCACTTCTCCCAAATCGCTAAAAAAAAAAGGGCGGATGTGGAAGAAGGGAAATTATGAACTAACTCATAAAAACTATGAGAACACATTCGCTGATCAGTTTGTTTGGATCACCATCTTTCGCTGCCGAAAGCCTGGCCATTTAATTCACCTTTTGGGCTTTACCTTTCACATGTAGTGTCACGTGACTTTTGATGTCAACAAACCCCGAAAGTTCGGACATTGAGTCGAGCTCGCAGCATATGTGTCCAGACTTCGGCTTTGGAAATTTTTATAAAATAACTACCCACTTTAAAGAAATATTCTTCGCTCAAAATTGGCGTCTTTCTTTTATCATTTTCTGATCGTTTATCAATTAAGTTGTCATTTCGCTGCCGTTGAAACAGATGCGAAGAATGTTACAGGAAGAATTGTGGCATGGAATAATCGAACTAGTTCTGCGTTCAGTGATGTATCTGATCGGGTATTCTCGGGGTGTTGTTTGCGTAGATTGTTAAATAAAATCACTTCTGTTCGAAAATTAGTGCCCAGGAATCGCTGTAGAACGTGAGGAAGCCTTAATTCCCACACGAAATTACGTATCTGGGTGTGGATTTCCTTAGCTGATAAATATACCGATTTTTTTTAACATAAGTAACACAAGTGGGAAATTCTGCGAAACTCAGAACAACTTTCAAGAATAGTTAAACTTAAGAATGGCAGATCACAAAGTAAGGCTGACTCAACGCAATGAGTGTGGCATAGCTTAAAAAATATCTACAAGAACGAGGGATTTCAGGAACCGGATACTTGAAACCTCGTTGATGAAAATCACCTCCGCAGTCGAAAAAATGGCTGTGCCAGTGGATCCAAATTTCGAAAAGGCGACGCCACTGCTTTAGACGAATTAATAATTCATAATATGTTAATACCCAATCCATTTTTCCTGAAGACTGTTAACAATTTTAACGAGTCGCCGCCGTTTGGATTGTATGACATTTTTAATCATTTGATTTGCTCTCCTGAACTCATCACTGGCTCTACGCTCAGATTTAAAAGGGCTTTGACTACTGCGTATTCCTCTTTCGATTCACCAGTTTTGACGATCAAGTGTCAGAAGGGTTTTTGCCACTGATCGTTCAAGGCAAACTTTCCTGCACCTCTCTTTGTCTGCTTCTCGTTCGCAAGATGCCTTCCGTTTACGATTGAGTCGCGACATCTACTCATGGTATACATATTTATCCCAAAGACAAAACAGCGATTTAAAGAATGACTGAATTAACTTACCCTTTCTTTACTGGCTACAGCAGATATGGGATCAGGATCCTCTTCTGTTGGCCCATTTCACCGACAAAATTTAGACTACAAACTTTGCTGTCCTTCGTGCACACAAACTAGTCACCTCGATGACATAACCTTATCCACCTTTGCATTCTCTCCTTTTTTTTGTAACTGTCCCCGGAAAATGGAAAAACTTGACCGGGTCGCCGTTAGCGTTTCTTACCCAGGAGTTGAGGTATCATGAATCGTTTCTGCAGTTGCCATAAGCACATCTCTTTGTCATAACCATTATGTCTTTGGGAATCAAGGCTTCCTCATGTTCTACAGCGATTCGTGGGCACTAATTTCTTGTCAGACGAGGATTTAACTGACAATCTACGTACTAAACACCCTGAAAATACCTGATCAGATACATCACTTTAGAACTGTATGCAGATCTAGTTCGATTATTCGATGCCGCAACGCTTCCTGTAACATTCTTCGCATCTGCTTCAACGGCAGCGAAATGACAACTTGCTTGACAAACGATCAGATAAATGATAAAAGAAAGATGGCAATTTTGAGCGAAGAAACGTTTTTTAAAAGTGGGCAGTTATTTAAGAAAAATTTCCATAAAAAAGCCGAAGTTTGGGCACATGTGCTGCGAGCTCGACTGAATGTCCGAACTTTCGGGGTTTGTTGACATAAAGAGTCGCCTGACACTACACGTGAAATTTAAAGCCCAAAAGGTGAATTGCGGAGTATCGCATTCATTTCAAATCTCCATAAAACTGCGTTAAATGTTGCTGGGTGTCTGAGGGAATTTTTCTCAGTGACTTTGTGACACTCTATGGCTCAAAGAACAGTACCGTATTAGAAAAACAGATCGCTTACCATACAAAATTTATAATAGACATACGCTTACCTTTAAGTTCCCGGCGCTTCTGCAGCTGTTTTTAGCTGTGGCTCATTGAACAAATTATTAAAATGTGAAACCGAATTACAAAATTTACGTTTTTATTTTTGTGGGTCGTTAGCAACGAGGGGGTGTTAGTCAAGACACCTATCATACAGCTTTTGGATACGTGTCAGAACTGGTTGAGCCTAGAACTTCCACAGGAACCTGCGCAAAAACCGTCATTCCTTTTAAGGATATACCTAAATGAATAAACATTTGCGGAAACGAAATGTAGGTGTAAACTTTTGAACGCCACTTGTGGTTTTCATTTACCTCTGTTTTATTTTTTTCCTACCAAAGTAAACAAAGTTTCCACAGAAGGTTTTTCGGCGCATCCGATGGGAACAAATATTTCCGGCAAGCAAAGCACTTTGAAGCAGGTGGGTCCAGTCCTTTCGAACGGTACTAGGATCTTGGAAGACAGATACGAGGAATTCCATCGTATTCTGTCTTAGTACAATAGAAAATTCACAACAAAAAGAAAGAAAGTCGCAATTCCTAGATGGTTGAAAATGAGTCGATCCGCAAACCTATTCAGACCTTAAGGAAAACGGATGCTATTACTAGACTTCATTTAATCAAAAAAATGAACGAGGAGAAAATCTGATAACTCTTAAAATTACTTTATCGAACGGGCACGAACGTAAACAGTAAGATCTGTGGAGCCACAGCAGGTAGCAATTACTTCTCGCGAAAGAACGATCTAGCGTTGTCAGTTTACACAGACGTCATAAGTTACTCTTGGGGCATCTCAGAAAACGAGACTCGAGGAAGGGAGGTAATTAGGAGATGGAGATCGGAGATGCTGGCACAGGTTTTCTAGTGTGGGAGGAAGCTTGGTCAAAAATAGGGCCTTTTTCATGAAAATGGTATGCTAGGAAAAGGAGAAATTGGCAGCACGATGGCGATATTTTTGTGGCAATCGGTATTTTTGTGGTAATTTCTTCTTGCGGAAGAAAAAATTGATCATACCACACTCGAACTGATGCTAGCTGTCTTCATAACATAACTATAAATAGAGAAACATTATCGGTACCTATGAGGAATCGAACCTCAGACCTTAGCATACCGCGAACCGATGCTCTATCACCGAGACTCATCATTGAGGAGCCAGGCTATTGCGAGGTTTATATCACACGCTTACTACATATTGTTAGGATGAGTATTGTCGAAAGCGTCATGTTTAAGTGCCTATGACTCGGAATTTCTTTTGGCATTTTTGGTTGATAGCTGTATTCAGAATTAGAAGTAATCGATTAAAGCGTCTAGCGAGTTCTCCTTCACCATTTTTTGTGCATTGAAAGTACGATTAAAAGGCTCATTTCCAACCTTGAACCACCGCTTTTGTTTGAATAGCGCCTCTGATTGGTCAGTTATTTTTACTTTGTCACTTTGTCTCAAAATAGCTTCTGCGTTTTCTCCGATGAGTTTGGTGAGCTTGTCAAAATAATTCTGTTTAAGACAGTTCTATACGTTTTAATCCGGTATGGAATCAGATGAATCCATTGATTTAATAGATTCCGAGGCAGTAAACGCTTG